TAGTGGAGTGTAATGCTGCCACGTAAATAGAGTAGGGAAATTGAGGTTGATTGGTTGTGCAAGCGATTCTCTATGTGAGACAGTCATTGTACCAATCACCATCACTGTAGAACCTAAGAAAACATTAATGATGAAGAACAGCATTGTAAGTTTGAAACTGCATGAAGTAAGATACAATTAATGTTGCTACCAATTCAGTAATTACAACAAACATTGTATTTAGTAAACTTTCAATATGCATGTAGATGTACATTGTAAGTACTGCACATGTATAATTATATTACACATATATTTATGCTCACCTGGTGATATAGAATAAGAGAGAAGAGTTGATAGCACATGCATCAGTGAATGAGACACTGAGACACGATCACCAACTTGCACATACTCAACCAAACGATGAACATCATCAAGCACAATAAGAGAATGACTTGAACTACAAAGAGTATATTATAATATTAGGCCGTATATAAAGAATGCAATTATTATAATATACCTAAATGCATCTTTGAAAACTTGATGGATGTACTCAATCTTTCCAAAATCAGTCAAACCAATCATGTTGGAGGCTGTTACTACCTTTTATAGCATAAAATATAACACAGATGCTCAATTAATTAATACGCAAGCTGGATACATGTACCTTGATATATGTGAAGTGGCCCAATACAGCAACTCTAGCTGCTAATGTAGTCTTCCCTGTTCCTATAATACATTTTATTATACATGTACTAACAAAAATAAGAATAATGAAATAAGAAAATAATGAAAATAAGAAGTGACGATTACGAAAGGGACACATATGTGACATTGTTATGCTCTCAATTGTTACAGTGATGGCTCTTGTTGTATAGAATGTTGTGATAACTTTTTAATCATAACTTCAGTTTAGTTATTGCACAGGAGATAAGTGATTTTCTATCAATGTACACATTATAATCGTATAGTGGGTAATTTTAGAGGGGGATAAATTCTAGCTAATTGAGCGTTTTGTTAGCCATTCGCCAAAGTAAAAACCACCATTTTGAGCCATTATGCACATGCTCATGGCACATGACCACAAATTTGTCAAATTAAAACTCACCAATCACCAAAATTTCAGCGATTAGCCAAAACTTTTCCCTTCAAACTACCCGCTATATGGTAGTTGTACTCATTTTTATAAAATAGTAATCTTGAATCACATGCTAACAAATTATTACGTTTAGTTAGCAAATTTTAAAGGAGCAGTAATAATAGTACCTTAGGGTGGGTATTAATTGCGACACTTAATTTTAGCGTCAACCATCCGCT